AAAAAAAAACTCCCCAGAAAAAAGGGCACTTTCTCTCGAGGAAGAAAAAGGGCAGGTGCTCAAGCTCCCTTTGATGCCTGTGTGTGCACGTGCCTGTTGCTACATGAGTGAGTGTGTGTTCTTTCTGTTAATGAGGGAACTCCGTTCCAATCGCTATAGAAAATGTGTTAGTCAAACGTGTCTAAAAGGGACAGAAAACAATTGAAATCACTTACAATAAAGCACACTGAAGTAAACAGAATTATGTTTTTTTTTCAAGTCAGTATCAAGAGGAAACAGTACAGATGGATTACTCAGATTTGTCTTCATTATAGCAGATGGTTTCATCCAAACTGATTTAGCCATCATCACTACTATATATTTATGTTGTGTATCCATGTGTCTATTTCAAGAGGATATTGTGGCATACATCATCATATGTCTTCATAAATGCAGAATCGATAGCAATTCGTTATTTTGAAATCATGACAAAATAGAGTTCTCTGTTATATCATCTGCTGTGACATTTTAACCAGCTCTTTGGATTCAGGAAATTTCCATTCTGAGATATTTGATCTTGTGGGTGGAGCTGATGATATAAATCTGTGATTTTCTGAAACGGAAACTACCCTGGAAATATCTGTCTGAAGATCAGCGTCGCAGTGAGTATTTTACACCCTTAATCTCAATTATAACAATTCCATATTGTAATATCAGATTTAAAATGGTTGTTTGATATCATTATCTCTTTCTCGTCAGTGTGTAATAGGGATAAAAACACAGACACCGTGAGTGTGATATTACAGAGCTGAAAGAGGGGGATTTCACGATTTCATGTCATTATGAAACTGAAAGTGTGTAATGCTGCTGGAACCTAAAATGAACCCAGTGAGGAAACCGACTGCAGTTCAGTTCAAAATCTGCAAACTGAGAGTTTTAATATAGGATTTACTGTGTTAATCACTTTAGCTGATAAACATGACCAAAGTAATCTCTTTCGGGCTTCATGCCTGTTGATATGAAAACATTTCAGTAGATCTGTAAAAGACTATTCAGATAAAATCACACCATGATAACATTAGCTTGAAATTTCCCAGTCTGGAGATCCAACAGCACAAACAGAAGAAGTCAGGGGGGTTGCAGCTCACAGATAAACAGCGCTGATTATTGTTTATTTGTGTGTGTGTTTAATTTTTAAATAGAATAGAATGAAGTGAAAGAGAAACATAAGGGGTTTGAATTTATGTTTACCATATTTCTGTTCACTGGATAATTGTGTAAGATTATAATGAAGATTTGCGGTTTTTACAGGTCTTGCCACTCAGCTGAAAACAGAACAACAGAGGATAATGGTATAAAACATTAATTCAGACATTTCATCATCAAAATCACAGACATACCTGCTCATTTTATTTATTTATTTATTTGTTTGTTTGTTTGTTTGATTTTCTTTCATTTATTTATTCATATTATGAATGTGTCTGATAATCTCATACAGGCTGACAATCTGCGTCACAGATTGAACAATGCAGGTAAATCTTATACTGACCACAGAGACACGACACGATCACACATGGGATATAAATACAGATCATATGTCAATTGATGTTCTAAACATTTTCTCTCTTTCTCTCTAAACGTTTTTCCTCTCTCTTCCTGTAGCAGCACCACTGCAGAACAATGGCAACATTAATATCGTCCTTCTGGGGAAAACCGGAGTTGGGAAAAGTTCATCAGGAAACACCATCCTGGGAGAGAACAGATTCACATGTGGAAGAAGTCTGTCTGCTGTTACAGATGTATCTAGTGTTGAGAAATCAGTGATTGATGGCAGATCTGTGTCTGTTATTGACACTCCTGGCTTTTTTTGTACTAATCTTTCCCAAGAGCAGCTGTCGAGGGAGTTTGCGAGAAGTGTGTATCTTTCCGCTCCAGGAGTTCATGCGTTTTTATTTGTTGTGCCGTTCGGCAGGTTCACAGAGCAGGAGGAAGAGATACTGACAGGAGTGCAAAAGGTTTTTGGTAAAGATGTGCTGAAGCATGTCATTCTCCTCTTCACATACGGGGATGAATGCATCAGAGAGAGGATACAGGCAGAGATTGACGGGAATAGGCTTGTCAGTGGAGTCGTTCAGAGCTGTCAGGGTTATCATGTCCTCAGTAACAGAGATCTGACTGACAGACAGCAGGTGACTGATCTACTGCAGAAGATTAACACAATGACAGAGTGGAATCAAGGCTACTACACCAATGAGCTGTATGAACGGGCTCAAATGTGGCCATGGGAAAAATTCTGGGAAATGCTTAAGAACTTTTTTAATGCAGTGATTGCACTTTTCCTGAACCCGTCTAAAAATTCTGATAACAGCTGTTGGAGATTGGCGCCATATGAGACTCTAAAAAACTAAGAATACATTTTTTTGCTCTTGATTTATTTTATAAGACATGGTTAAATATAACCTAACTGTAGGCGACAGCCCCTCTGCTTATGAGGAAAAATTATGTATCAGAGCAAAATGAGAAATTAATGAACTGATGTAACAGAACACGTCTCTGTGTGTGAGTTGAAAGGTTTATTATATTTTAGCTACATTGTATTTTCACATGTTTGAAAGGATGGCTGTTAAATGTTAAAACAGATCATATATGTTTATCAAACAGTATGGTATACAAGATACTACTTTATCTTTACACGTTTCATTCATTAAAAAGAGTCTTATGTAAATAAGATCCTTTCTGAACTATGAATACAAAAAATAATTATAAGAATAATACAGCAGACATTTCATGCCTTAATGCATATTCAGCAGGCACCTATTAACAGCATTTTCCTGCTCATTTACATAATGCACAGTATATCTCAACAGTTTAAGTTTTGCCTATTAAACATTTTTATATAACTTTTCTGTAAGAAACATTTGACTAAATATTTTGAAAATGTCAAAACTTTGTCAAAATGTTACAGAAGATCCTCTGCTATGTTACTTTACTTTTGTACTCTTGTGCTTAGTGTTTTTGATACTTTTATATAAAATATAAGTTACATTATATAAGTTTTCGTACATGTACTGATGTGTTTATGGAATTCATTATACCTATTAAAATCTGACAGATACTGATAAATGTATAACATCTACTTAATAATAAACTCTGACAAGACCTTATTGTCATGTCACTTTATCTGAACCTGTTTATTTATTTTATAGAAAAAAAATTTAATTCAGAAATTGCTAGTAAATTTCACAAACTATTACATAGAAAAGACAAGTAACAGTGAAATGTAGCTGCAAGCAGTAATTGCGGAGCCAAGCACAATAGAGCCAAAATGAGGAGCTAAGCGTGGCATGGAGCATCAGTCCAACTGCAACAATGAGTAATTAAAGCCATTTTAAGATGATTTTAGTCAAAATGGCTGAAAAAAACATAAATATGATTTCATGGTTTATCACTTTTGATCAATAGGTGTCGCTGTTAGCAATTTGATGTGGTGTGGTTGGTGTGAGGCGATGATGACACACAAAAGCTTTGGGGTCAGTATATCAAACCTTTGCAGAGATACAGCTTCAGATGCAGTTTGGCTGCATGCCAGCAAATCAGGAATTCTTCAGTAATCAGGAAATCTTTCACCGCTTTGATTTCTTCCTTCACTGTCTCAACTGAAAAGTTGGGGCTCTGCAGGATCTTACTTTATTTATCTGGAACAACACACTGCTCCACACGATGGTACTTACCGCAAAAGGCCATCTCTGTGTCTCCTGACTGATGCTTTCAGCTGTTGGGACAACATCTGCATTTCATTTCTCTATGGCTTACTCCTTTAGAACAGTTAATGCCTTCACAATTCCAGGCAACTGGTAGCGAATAGTTTTAACAGCTTCAACTCTGCACTCCCACCTGGTTGCTGACAATGCCTTAAGTGTAAAATTCTTGATGTGCTCTTTGAGAAAGGACCAACGGTGAACTGAGGACCTGAAAAGGGTGTTAACAGCCCAAATAAGCTGATGGACACCAAATATGACTTGGCTGCATCACCAACAAGAAGAATCAGTATGTGACTTCCACAAGGAGAACAAAAAGCTTTGCGGTTCAATAACAATATTCTCCTTTGGACTCCCTGCATTTTACCCTGCATCTTGCTCCCATTATCGTAATCAGTTGCACAGATTCAATCCTAGTGTTTCTAGGTGGCCTTAAAATATCTCGTATAAGCCTTTTTCTGTTGTGTCAAGTGCCTGAAGAAATACAACAAAGTGCTCATGGATGGAGACACCCTTTGATAACTCACAACTAACAATTCATACGATACGATACGATATGATATGATATGATACAATTTAACTATTGTCCGACAAGATCTGAAATTTGTCTTGAGTTACAGCAGGTTCACTCACAATTGCAAGATATTATCACATGGACAAGAGACAGATCAGACTTAAACAATCACAAGAAAA